AATCCTCTAGGAAACTATGAGATCAGAACCGTGGTAGAACACTTAAATCGACCCTCCTGAGCAGGAACTCATCAGCCCAACAAGACTCCTCTGAAATGTACCACAAACCACCCCAACTATGAATGTCCCTACCACCAACATTTCGAGAATTTGATGCAGTACTGAAACAAATGCGCCATGGGAAGGCGCGGACCGGACAAAATTCCTACTGAATTCCTGACCCACGGAGGTTTAGTTCTGAAGACACGCCTTCACTCCCTCATACTAAAGCATGGGAAAAACAGGCTCCCAATGATTGGAAAGACGCACTCCTTGTCACCATCTTCAAAAAAGGGGATAGAAGAGAATGTGGGGAATTATAGAGGGATATCCTTGCTATCAATTGCAGGGAAGATCTTGGCAAGGATCCTACTAAATAGATTACAAATTGCAGCAGAAATAATCTTGCCAGAATTCCAATGTGGTTTCCGCATAGACATGATTTTCTGTGCTCGCCAACTACAGGAAAAAATCAAAAGAACAAAAACCCATATTCCGACCTCGAAAAAAGCACTCGACAGTGTACCAAGAACACCCATGTGGTCTGTCTGTCAATCGCTTCGGAGTCCCTGAGCCTTTTGTTGACATGATCAAAGCCCTACATTATGGGATGACACCTGTCAGCCCCCTTCCCAATCACATGTGGACTAAAACAAGGATGTGTAATGACGCCGACCCTTTTCTCTTTATGCTTGGCTGCCATGTTATATGATGTACCCCACAACAACCTCAGGGTTGAAATAAAATACAGATTAGATGGAGGAATTTTCAAACTGGCCAGACACAGTTCAAGCGCAACACCAACACCATGAATGTGTCGGAACTACAGTATGCAGATGACAACGCTGCCGTAGCCCACACTCAAGCAGAGCTCCAAGAATCGGTGGATAATTTCCATGCTGCCTACACATGTTTTGGCCTAACAGTTAACAAGGTCAAAAACTAAGATATTGCAACCAAGACCAGGGGAGAATACACACAGTAACTAACATCACCATGGATGGAACCACCATTGAATGCGTCTAACATTTCCCATACCTGGGAAGCATCCTTTCCACCCAGAGCACCTCCTCCAAAGAGATCGAAAACAGGTTACAAGCTGGCCACACTGCTTATGGATTCCCAACCAAATATATGGCTAAATATGCACAAGCAAAGTCAGTGTCAAGCCAGGCTTCGGAAATACAAAATGAGTGGTGGCAGCAAATGGCTGACAGTAAGGACCTTAAAAGCTTCTTTAAAGGCACAAAGAAAATTTTCGGACCCAAGCACACTGCTGCAGGGACACTTTTGGCAGCAGACAACACATCCTTACGGAAGACTATGAGATCCAGAACCGTTGGGTAGAACACTTTAATACCCTCCTGAACAGGAACTCATCAGCCCAACAAGACTTCCTCTGAAATGTACCACAACACCCCCCCAACTATGAATGTCCCTACCACCAACATTTCGAGAATTTGATGCAGTACTGAAACAAATGCGCCATGGGAAGGCCGCGGGACCGGACAAAATTCCTACTGAATTCCTGACCCACGGAGGTTTAGTTCTGAAGACACGCCTTCACTCCTCATACTAAAAGCATGGAAGAAAAACAGGCTCCCAATGATTGGAAAGACGCACTCCTTGTCACCATCTTCAAAAAAAGGGGATAGAAGAGAATGTGGGAATTATAGAGGGATATCCTTGCTATCAATTGCAGGGAAGATCTTGGCAAGGATCCTACTAAATAGATTACAAATTGCAGCAGAAATAATCTTGCCAGAATTCCAATGTGGTTTCCGCATAGACATGATTTTCTGTGCTCGCCAACTACAGGAAAAATCAAAAGAACAAAAACCCATATTCCGACCTCGAAAAAGCACTCGACAGTGTACCAAGAACACCATGTGGTCTGTCTGTCAATCGCTTCGGAGTCCCTGAGCCTTTTGTTGACATGATCAAAGCCCTACATTATGGATGACACCTGTCAGCCCCC